AGTTTTGCACAGAATCGGTCAAAGTCGTAGAATCGGTCCGATTCTACAATTCTGCAGTGAATCTACATTCCTTTGCAATTTTGAGCGACTTAGAATCGATTTTGTGACTTTGAGTCGTAGAATCGGCAATCCTACGACTCAAAGTCGCGATTTTGATAACCTTGAGCGCAACGGACAAAAATACTCTTACAATAAATATGATAAGCACTACTACTAACGAAAATAAGTCAACACAAATAAATAAATGATGAGAAAGAAAAAGAACACAACAACTAATAACGGAGTTCGGTAAATATTGCCTACGTCTCCGGGCACCGCCAACCGCAACGCCAAATTTACTAAACTCACCAACAAAATACAACTAGGGTTAAATAATCCACAAATTAGGATTTTCTTCTAAGAGATAATAGAATAAGGTGCAATTGTAACCCAAAGGCAAGAGACCTATTTATACTAAAAAGATCCTACACATCTTTGGTACACATCCGATGTGAGACAAAACATAATCAAAACCTAACAATTTATACCTAGAAGTGAATCAACCAGCTAAAAAAGTTAAATTTAGGAGGACAACACACAACTGACATCAGACATTATGTGCCCATCAGGTCGGGTAAATCTTTTGGTCAGTCGATTAGGACCCGTTGACCATGGTTCTGACCCAAGGTCGGAACCAATACATGAGCCAATTTAATAGCATATATACAGTCAAAGCAAAGTCAACATATATTTTTCTTTCCTTAATTGAACGTATGCATGAGTCACCATGCATACTTGCCATATGCATGTTTGCTTTCATATTCTCAGTCTTCTTGCTAGTTCTTCTCTTTGCCTTAGATATAAATATAATCCTAAGATGTAGATTCATTTGAGTTTGTGTATAAAAAGACATTGTACATATTTCTAGGGTTCTTGAATGAAACAGTGCAATATTGAGCTTCCATTTTGCTTTCTCTTCAAGTTTGGCTTATCTGCTCTTGATCACCCGTGGTTTTCATCTCAATGGCGACTGACTTTTGCCATTATGGTCTCAGAGCAGGTTGATCCAACCTGTCTCTATGTTTATCAAAGGCAAGGCTTAGTCCCACTCCTTTATTTTAAGCTTTGTTGTCTTCATTTTTTAGCTGCAAATGGCAAGTTCCAGCTCATATTCTTTCAGTTTTGGAGTTACTTCACCCGTGATTCAACCTCATGCCCAGTTGGTGACCATTAAATTGAATAAAAACAACCATGCACCTCATGTGGAAACACCAGGTCTTGGCCACAATAAAAGTATATGGTGTTGAAGGTTTCATTTTCGGCACCACTATACCACCTTAGAGGCTTATTTTTTAAGAAAATTCTGTTGCACCTACTATCAATCTTCTTTATCTAAACTGGGAGAAGTAGGATCAACTCTCAATGTCTTGGCTTCTAAGTTCTCTTACTAAAGAGATCCTGGTAAACACAATTGGCTTGAATACCTCTTCTGAGATTTGAGACTCACTTGCTTTGGACTTCACCCTCAGTCGAGAGCAAAGGTGATGCAGATCGAATCTCAACTTCATTACCTGAAAAAGGGTACTCAAACCATGAGAGAGTACCTAAATATCAAGTCTTGCTATGATGCTCTTGGGGCTTTATATGGGATACCATACCGGGTTGAGTTGACTCGAGAAGCAGATCGACTGAACTGGGTAGCATTAGGTTGAACGGAGGTTGGAGGTCGAAAGTGATGTCGTACGAATGGATAACCAACAGGTCGAGCTAACAGCCATGGAAGGTTATAGGTTGAGGGATCGACCTAGCAGACAAAGTATGAGCTCAAAACGAACAACACTTTACCTTGAGATAAACAAGGATAATAATAAGATTAGTCCGCTTGATAAAGAAGACTAAGGGATAATAAGGAATATTATGAGGATAAGAATCACACGTGAATCAGACCACATGGCCTACAAGAACTTGGCAGTTTGGGAAGTACGGGTAGTACGAACGGGAAGTTTGGTAGCTCCTTCAGACAGGCTTGGGCAACGAGGTATCATCTTCATATATAAGAGAGTGAGGTATGCCCACTATTACATACTCTCTCTATACACTTACAGTACTATTCATCATCTTCAAAAGATCTAACATAAGCTTTGGAGGCTCTTCACTGTAAAAAATCCCCTCCGGTGTCGAGTTTTTTCAGGTATCGAAGGTCATCCACCAGCGAAGGAGGTAGATCAACTCGAATTCAGTCGGTCGGGGGTCTTTACATAGCATTTGGCACCATCTATGGAAAACTGTTAAAAAAGCCATCGAAGCTCCATCATCCATGACGAACGAGATTCCCGGAAAACATTTAGAGCCGACTTTTGATGACGCGTAAACAACCACGCATCTTAGACCCTAATGACCCCAATGCCTCATCCTACGGGCTTAGGGAGCTCATCGGCGGTCCTCGTAGTCGCCAGAGGCTCGAGAAACCAAGAGGGTTGTGGTTTTAGGGCAGGTGCAGCGACATCCAATGCATGTTCCATCGATGGGCCACCCAGGAGTGAGGTCGAGCAAGAAGAGCGACAGCCGGTCACGTTATCCAAAGAGAAGCTCGGGAAAATGATATCACTTTTCCATGCATCGTCGCAGCTAGAGCAGCCCGGCAAGTCACTCAACAAACATCCCATGCGACCACTACACTCACTATTGTGGTGGAAACGAATAGAAAAGAGACACAGGGCGAAGAGTCGAGTAGTAAGGACACCAAGGTACACAGGGATTGAGCTGTGGAGACAATAGCGGAGCAGATTTGCCCGCAACAAGAGACAGTCGAAGGTAAAGTTGTTGGTGTAGGTAGCTCGAGGGCATCCATTTTCCTGGAAAATTCTAGAAGTTGCACTGCCAACCAACTTCAGGTAGGTCAGTCTTATGATTGGTCGACGAATCCGTCCAGACATGTGAGGTTGTTTGAGAATATGTCCATTACATGGATATTCGGATATTGTGTGTTGTCGAGCTTTTCTAGCTACCCTTAGGGGGGAAGCTTAGGATTGGTTTCACCAACTACCCCCAGGTTCGGTAAGGGATTTTGAGGATTTTTTTCTTAATCAATATGCCAGTGCAATAGCCAAAAAGAAACTTACTTGACGTTGATGGCGATGAGATAGAAAGAGGGCGAATCTTTGAGGAATTATGTGGCCAGATACAATCGAGCGTGTGTGGAGATACCTTTGGCCTCAGATGAGGTCAAGGCCAGAGGTCTAATCAGAAGCCTGCTGGTTGGTCCATGTCGAATCTCTCTTGCTAAGACACCAGCCATAACTTATGACGAGGTGCTAAAGATGTACAAGAAATATGTGAATATGGAGGAGACTGAGGAGAAGTTTGCTAAGCTCAAGTAGATGGCTCGACCAGAAGTCAAGAAGGAGAGCGGCGAACTCTCCCCAAAAAGAAGGTAGATCAGCTCGAATCCAGTCGAATTTATTCAACGCTTGTTCTCCGATGAGCTGAAGCAAATTATCCGCGTCGAACTCACCGGATAAGTGAACTCTCGTTCAAATGAAAAGAAAAAGTTAGATTTGATAATAACAAAAACTTTATCTTTTTTTTTTCGGAACGATAAATTCATTAATAGAAACACATATATACATACTAGATAACAAGTCATCAATCGAATAAACCATCCTCCAGTTAAATCTAGTTAGAAGAACTACACCGAGTGTAGCCTAAAACCAACATAAAAAAGCAAACACACAAAACACTAAAAACTAAAACAAGCTACCACGAGTGGAGAATAAAGAAGCTCTCACGAGTGGAGAATATAAGTTCCCAAACGGGAGAATGAGGACGCAAGTGAACACCAGAAAAA